CATAAAGCCCGAACATAAATATTTGTCGATTTACGTTGATGTATTGAAGTTCGGTCAGCTGCTTCCAACTTGTCTACGATTCATGCAGACATAACTAATATGAAAATATATAAGTTAACCATCAGTTAAATTTCTAAAAATTAGCGGTAGTGACAAATTAAACCATTTAAAACAACAGAACAGCACAAAATAATATTTACTCTCCGTTTAAAGAAAATAACACTTTTGACCTGTATTTTTTTATATTTCAGAAGCTCAAAGAAAAAAAAATTCTGCGAAAATATTCTCTCCTTTCCTTCCCTTCCCTTCAAATATTTCAATCATGAGGCTATAACCTAAGGTTAGCTTTAATAAACAACCCTAACGCCCTCACACTCAAAATTACTAAAATAATGACAGTATTGACTTCTTACAAACTTATTCCGTTGCAGCAGCTGATGCACTTATTTAAATCGGGCACGATCGTCATATCAGTTGGTTTGACCATCTATGAATACTTGTCACAAACAAACACTTCACGTGTCCCGAAATTTTGTATCCAGTCAGTGTACGGTTGTCTTGTTCGAAACTTCCTCTTCAGTGTATGCATTGTTAGGCGATTCACGAACAGCAGGAAACGAGTATAATGAGAAGTTATGTTCCAGAATGAGCACTCGTTGTGCTCATTAATACATCATATTCGTACATGCACAGCGTTTGCGCAACTAGTATGAGCTGGGGCGTAGGAGTTTCTTCAATGTCACGGGGAAGATGGGATAGTCTATTAATTACACGGGGGCAAACCTGCTACTGATTTCATTTCTGAACTAAAGTACGTGATTATTTGGGATGCATTTTACATTCTGTTTGAAAACAATTTAAAAAATTTCAGCTCACTGCAATTCACATTACGTTAAATCTGTCATTTAATCTCGTAGCCTCGCACAGTCGCCATGTAAGTAATTATTAACATGCGTTAGTTAATGCTTTATTAGCTATCGGCATCAAACTAGAAATATTTTACAGTTTAAAATACCTTGATAATGTACGCATATTTTTTTCAAAATCTGCGATCACATAAAACTTCACTACCTTACATGAAAAGCTATAGTGTTAATGACAGGAAATCAAAGAATGCAAAGGTCTGGGACTGAAAGTAAAATTATGTTTAAACAGAATTCCATGCAAATCTATCAATTATTTCAAACATTCTCAAGGAAAACTGAGAAGCTAATACGAGAACACCACAAGCTCACCCTGCCCTGTAGTACAGAGATTGCGCGGTAAGGTTTTAGCCATGTATATTAGCAACTGAAGTTAACGTTTTGTGGATTTTCAACTAAATAAATGTAATATTTCAGTGCACGTAGTAAATATTAACTGAAAATTGTTTTCCTTTTAGTCAAAACAAACTGCTTTGCAGAAACTGCTAAAACCATTCACGAAATCATTACGAACTTCATGGAAGTAATTAGACATATATTGTTCATAAATTGTTACTATTGCGTTGTACATTTTGAGTGATTACCCGGTCTTAATGATGAGTTCTGAAAGTATTGAATGATATCTAATAAAAAAAATCAGATGATATTGATACCCTAAATAGCAGTTGTTTTAAAGCTTTATTCGTGTTACCGGTGTTAATAAAGTTGCCTTTCAATTCATACATTGTGATTCTATATAACATATAAAATTCATTTCGACTTGCACTCATTGCAGCAACCGAAAGCTGAGGATGTATATTCATAGACCTTCGGCAGAATTATGCAAAATCCATTTTGAAAATGTCTGTCTTCTGGTGTTTCTTGGATGTTGCATCTTGTTGAAATTGGCCGACGTTTCAGAAAATTACCTTCGTCATCAGTGAGATGACAACGGAGACAGTAAATTTCTCCGAAACATCGGACAATATCAAAATGCATGGTGTAGCAAACCAGAAGACAGCCATCTTCATACTGGTTTCCGTATAAATTTAAATTTCACAAAATATATACCATCCAAAATGAACCTGTTCTAGTGAAAAATATGGGCGCTGCAGAGCGCTGGCTCTTCAACTTAAGGTTTATGTTCATTTTCAGGAAAGTCAATATGCAATATCTGCCGTATAAAGTAGCACTGGGGCAAGTCTTCCTTTGCCAGTTACTGATCTTCAAGGGTTCAATTCTTCCCTGTCATCACCTTTAGATTTTCACTTCTGAGCCGGTACTCGACTACATTTCTACTTCTTCTTTGACGCTACAGCCCGGTGTGAGCCTTGGCCTCCTCAATGACCCTCCGCCATCTGTCTCAGTCTCGCGCCAATTTCTGCATCCCAACACCCTTGCGTCCCCCTCCACTCCATCAACCCATCTGAGCTTCTTTGTCCTCCAGGATTGCTGACAATGATTTTCTTTGGTGGGTCACTAACGTCCATCCTCGCAACATTCCCTGCCCACCTTGGTCTAGCGGAGCTCGACTACACTTACGGCAGAGAAATTAACTAACATAACAAAAGTTCCCACTATCCGTCGGTTGTATGCGATATTGCAGTTTTCATAACAGGTTGGAATATGATTGAATCTGGCAAATTAATGTTTTTACAATAACCTGAGTCTGTGGGTAGACCTACATCTACCTGTGCGTTAAGAGCCAATAGTAGAGAAATTTAAATTACAGTATTTGTATCGTCAGAATTAGGAATAATTCCATCGGATTATTGATACGTCCATAAAATAATTTGTGCTACATAAACTCGGAAACAAAGTTATGGAAATTTATGTAGTGTGTCAAGAAGTTTTAATTTTCAATAGGACTTAACACTATGTGAAATAACTTACTCAGTGTGTTGGTTGTAATACTAATGGCAACACTCAGTCTCCGTAATTTTTTTTTTTTTTGGGGGGGGGGCAGTACTTGATGCTAAGGCGCCATAAAGTTTGAATGAATTTTATTTAAAGCAGTTTATATTTCTCATTAAATGCTTATTACTTTGTTCACTACAAATTATTTGTATTTTTTAAATGTAAGTTAGAAGTTACAATGAAAAAACCCATAATTTTTGGGCAATGATTTAGTATACAATTTCGATTAAGAACAGAAGAAATTGTAATTACAGATTTTTGGAAATTTATAAATCTTTTAATTCCACTTATTTATACAGACGCCAGTATTCATTAAATTTTCAAGCACAATTAAAAATAAAGTCCTATCGGTACCTTTCATTCAACTATGTGTGACCAACAGACGGAAGAAAATTATACCAATTAACAATTTGAAATCTGTAAATGAAACACAATTAAAATAATCTTTTGCGTCCTTCCTTATAAACATAAGTAATTCACACTTGACCAAACATATTTAACTTTTTTACTGTATTGCAACTTAAATTTCAAACCTCGTCCTTGACAAGTTTCTGTTCTTAAATACACTAAACATCCAGTTCAATTAAATTGAGTTAATGTTATGTTTCTTACAATATACTAACACATATGGATATGTACTGTAACCGCAATTTACGGACTCACAACTTCGCGAGGTAGGGGATTTATCTGCAAGAACTAATTTATTTTTGAAACAAAAGATTTGCGAATGACTTCTAATGTGACACCTGTTGTCCAGACAAATAAGGTACGACAATTCTAAAATTGTATAGGTCTAGAAAACAACTATTAAAAATAAATTACATTTTATTGGTAGATAGATTTGTAAAATACGTCAGTTTCTTGCCGTTGGCACAGAAGGAAGATAAACATTAATGTACGTGGTAATATAAAATCTAGAAATAGCAACGGCATTTTACAATTTATAATAACACATTTGTTTTTAATTTTATATATTTTCTTTTTCAGATATTTTGTCGAGACGAGAAATTAAGGAAGATGTTAATTAATGAGCGAAATCCTGGAGTTCAACAAGATTTTGTCATCGTATACCAAAAACACGTCTTTATTAATAGCACCAATTCTTCATTAAAAATATAGAAGTGTGTCAACTAAAAAGGGTAAAAATCTGTTTACCATATAAATGGTCTCTTTCTGTAAACCATATTACGACTGTCTGTAGTTACGTGTATCAGAAGAGCTTGACCTTCTCGGCAAAATACAACATCGTAAATCTGTCTACGAGAACAGGTTCCCAACATTCGTTTCTCGTAACTTGCTCCCTACCACAATTAGATCTGGAAACTTTAATACCGCTCACTTTGGGAGTTGTATAAAATAATAAATATTTTAGTCTCACAAGCAGATAAATTAATACGTTTTCGTTTCCAAAGTTGTATAAGTTATTACCAAGTTTATGAGAAATGTGCAGGAAAAGAATGAGTTTCAAATACAAATTCCCTTGTCCAAGATAGTAATTAAAGTAATCAAAATTCCTAGGTACTTTAAAATGCAACATTAATAGTTATGATAAAGATTTCTGTATTTAATTCATAAGCGTATCTGTTAAATGGTAAAAATACGTAATTTAGTAATAGCGAAAAATGTTTTACAAGTTATTTACAATATTTTTTACTGTTTAGTGCAGAAACTTAAAATGTTTATGTATTTCGTCGAAGAATATAATTTACGTAAAATGTAACGTAAATTACCTCTATAATTTCCATATATTGAATTATAAATGTAAAATATTTCTAAGATTTAATGTAAAAGCACGACAATAACAGTGTCCATAAAAGTTTAATATAGCATACTCAACTTCAGCTAATCTAAAGGCTTCGATTTTCAAATTTTGATAAGAGATCTTCTGTAAGAGGGTTGACAAACTCCACTTTCATAACTAAAATGTAATCAGAGCAAAAATATTTCGGGACCGACAAGGCAGAACGTTCCTTTTTCTTGTTTTCTGGAAGAAGTTTCTTGTATCCATATAGAAATTAGCACCACACATAGATTAAATATATGAGAATATCAACAGTTAACAGAACAAGAATAACTTTCAAAACTTAGAGGTTACTTTTAATTCCTCTATCATGTACTCAGCTCTAAGCCCCGTCTATCTACAAACACGACTATGAATATGAAATATAGAATAATATAGTGTTGAGGAAGTTTTACGTTCATTGTTTACGTACATTAAGTATAAATCGATTAAATTTCTCTGCATACCACTGATAAAATTCTTAGTACTAAAACGTAGGTAATCACTGACATACAGAACAAAGCAACCCTTAATTGAACAGAAAAAGATTTTAGTTGTGAAGGCAGGAAAGATGTAAGACATTTTGAGATTTTACGTCTCCATAAAATGCAGTTTTTAAAAACTGTCATCATATATCTATGTATTTCATCTTAATTTAATACTATTCATGGATTGTGTATCACTATGACAATTATCCTGCAAGGATGCTTAAATAGTCCTCATAATGATGATTCAATCCAATTCCTGATTTTAACGTGCTGACTCAACAGCTACAGCGGCAAATTTTGATCCAGCCTCAGGCAATTAGTTAGTAGAGCCAAATGATAATAATAATAATGATAGAATTAAATCTTCCTCAGTCCTCAGTCAGTATAATCCACTTACGTTTCGTGTATGGCATATCTTTACACACACTGGTAATATTTAATTTACTTTTAAAAAAATTCATAAAACGAATTCGATTGTTTTAAATAAATTATGCATGATATTACAAAACTTCCTTATAAATATATTTTAGCTGCTGCCTGACAGTATTTCGACTTTTGTGACTTTTAACCAGCGTTCGAAGTATTAACTTGTATATACTGTAGTATATGACAGATAATAATGGTACCAACATATTGCTAGGAGATATAAACATATTATCTTTTTTGTACTGGTATATAACTTGAATACATAATGGATAATAATGACACTTATTTAATTCCTATTATTAAATCTCTCGTATGAAGTAAAATATTTTGTATCCATTTAAACTAATATAGTAGATTTTATACTATTAAGAGATGGTTTAAAAAAACAATATTGCTGCAAAAACTACTACTTTTGAATGACGATACAGCCTTTTTAAACGAGGAAATTTACCTCAGAAAATACACCGCAGAATCTCAAAAGTAAAAAAGTGTCATCATCATTCATATTAATTTTTCAAGAACTTCTGTAGACTAATATTCATGCAACAGAACCATATCCTATAACTTGATTATAAGAATGAGTAACTTCACATGTCACTGAAATGTATAGGAGATTTAAAAAAAACTATATAATTGTTCTTGAAATTCAGGAAATGTTGTATTTTTAGTTACCAAAAAACACTTCTTGGAACATGTAATATTGTTGTGTAATCTAGGCTATAGAAGTTCATAACAAGAAGCCGATTAGACATAACTTATGCTTATATACGATAGAATAATTTAAGGAACTAGCTCTTAAGGGTACAGTACCCATTTCTCTGGGGTTAATTAAATACGAATATTTATATTTAATACCTAAGACATTTCATGTGTGTTACTTTACTTTGCATGTTAAATATTTAATTTTTTGAATACCGTCACTATGGTTGCATTTGTAAAATCACTGTGTACATTAATTCGAGTCTCCAGTTAACTTCGTCTGTCGGTGTGAAGTCCTCTGGCCCAGGGCGGCGGATGGTGTGATGACGACCACGACGGTTGATGTAGAACCGCCTGTACGTATACTGAATGTATCCTGAGTGTATTCTTTTCCGGTATACCTTCAGTATACGTAACAGGAGGCCACACTGTGTTCTTCCGTGCGATGGCGACGTTTTCCAGCAGCAGCAAGGATACTGTCGAACCACTTTCTTCAAGGTCGAAAGGAGTAATAAGTAAATTTAACTATTATTATTATTATTATTATTATTATTATTATTATTATTATTATTATTATATAACTGTTTTAAGACTGTAGCCTTAAATATTATGAATAATTTTTTTTGGTGGACACCATTAAGGTCAGTTTAAAAAATTCTGTCTTGGCCATTCGTATTTCAAATAAGAAAGATATATCAAATTCCCCTTTACTGATTCTCTAAAGGTTCATAATAATTTTATAAAGGCCTACACAATATTCCGAATGGTGACTCTACTCCCGTCTTCAGGTGACTGATTGTCATAATAAAATGCATTTCATGCAACAGACGGTGCCAACCACAGTGTTTCTTTCCACTGTAAAGAACTTCCGTAATTGATGTATGGGCCATAAACAGCATATAATTAACATAATCCCGATGTTACACCTACAAAAAGCGCAGTTATTGTTGTCAGTGAGTTTTATGTTTTTAGGTAAAGGAGACAATTAAGATAATGGTAAAGTTGTAAAACTAACAGATAATCAATACATATAACGTCAAAAAACCGACTTTAATCCTAAAATGGCACTTCTTATTATAATCGTAAATAGATGAATTTGAAAGAGAAAAATTACATTGAGTTACTGAACTTAATGAAGTAGAATTAATTCCATTCGTTTTTTCGTAACCGCAAGTAATGTAAATATTGTACTGAAAATGCCTTTAAGAAAATTAACCAATGTATATACCCAATTATGGAAACTGGTTCCTCTCCAAGGAAAATATATTGTTAAAGATTTTCTTATGATATTAACAAAAGTACCAGAACCTTTCTTTTTCTAAATGCACCCATAGTTAATGTTGTTCAAAATTTACACTTTAAGATTATTCCAGGCTTTCAGTAAACTCAGTAGGTCCAACAGAACACTAAACCCTTTACATTACTTACACTTTAACACAAAAGCTAGGCCTACATTCATCATATGATTGTTTATTAGTTCGTTAATGGAAATCCCATTTCTTTCGTCTTATAAACTAATAGTCAATTAGGAGCTGTAATTACGCGGATTCGGTTCCTGAAAGACTGATTTGCAATGTGTTTGCTTCAGTGAGTAATATTCGTCCTCAGGAATCTAGATGTATTAAGAGTTCAGAATATTTCACATAAAGGAGACAAACCGTTAGTAAGAGCAAATTTCACAACATTAAGTTATTACGTTTATCTCTAAAATGATCAAATGCTTTGTAATTATACATGTGTGTGAAATTAAGATGTGTAAGATTTAGAGCATATTTTTGTATAATATTAATCTTATAAAAACAAAATACTGAAAAATATAGATTTGGCTGCATCGACTGATTTCACCGCATTATCCTAGAAACCTGTACTTAAGGGCAATAATTTTATTGCCGTGAACCAACTTTTCCAACAGAAGACGCGATTTATTATTCTTTTATGGTGTTTTGCTTTATGAGCTTAACAACTGCAACACAAAAACTCACCCTAAAACATGGTTTAAAATATTGTGGACAACATACTCTCTACGTCCCAGTTACAGCTAAACTGAAAGGGTTAACTTCCTTTAAGACATTTTTAACCCTTTGAAGCAGAAACAAACTTTCTCTTCTATGGTTTTAGGTTGTTGCAGCAAAACCCATATTTTGTTCAGGAGAGGTTATGGTTAAAAATCGATGTGCACAGTTCCTCTGCAGTCTTATAAAGAGAAAGTTTTCAAAGCATAAAAAGGGGTACTAGAGAATTTTTTAAAAAGTCAGTAAGATGAAATTAAACTAGAGAGTGGAAAGGTAAAAAATTCTACCAATCAGAGAAGAGAATGTTTTCAAGAATTCTTCGAAACTAGAAAGTTTAGTGATACATTCAAACTTTCCTAGCGAACTTCAGTTGTCTCCGCTTGTTTGAATGCTTTGGATGTAAACTGAAGTACTGCAAGTGACTAATATATAATTGGCCACTTAAAGTGGGAGTGAAGTTTGTTTTAGAGAATCATTTTGCTGTGCATACTAGACAAACAAAGTGTGACTTCCATAATTACAGCTGCTACTGTTGGTGAGTTTCAATTTTTAAATGAATATATTACTCCTACATAATATGTGTGTTGGAATACTTTTATTACATCCATAACATATATGACTACATACTGTAATTTCACTCGTGTCTTATTAATTTGTGCAGTTGTAGTTCACTTGTCATTTTTAACTTCCTTTTTTCTTATGATAACAGAAAGTTACCTACCCAACATTTTACGTTCTTGTTTCATTAAGCACATCAAACGTACCAATTACGTATTTAATGTTATAATTCGTTTGTCAACCCTCAAAATCACATTTAATAAAGAACGATTACAAGACTTGGAAAATTTATGAGATGTAATTGCTCCTGTATTATCTACAATTAAGTAAGAAATAGTTATATGCTTTAAATTTAAAAGGCAGAGCTTTGTGTGTTATTAAGTTTTATGCCTGTAGAAGCCGGGTTTTATGCAATTCCATTAATGTAAATAATAATTTTGTACAGAATATATATATATATACACAAAAATTTTGTTTAGTGATAATAGAGAAATTAAAATTCGACGAACTGGTGTATGCAAGACGATTCATAATGAACATCAAAACATATAACTTCAATCAATGTTTATGTATTAAAGAATTTAATTAAGTGCTTACATACGAAACAAAGTGTCTTGAGATTATGAATCAACTTGCATACTGTTACTCGTATTTGCTTCTCCTTGAGTTCGGAATTTCCTCACCTAACGTCGACTGCAAAATGTGATAGTTGAAGTCTTCTAGTGCCACAAATGAAGCTTCAAAGGTAAGATTTGTAATTGTTTCTATATGATCGGTTAAATTACCCAGGATATTTAAATGAAATGAAAGCATGATATTTATAATTATGGTGTGCATCGAAATTTTAAGTAAATTAATTTGGAAGATGTGAAACTGTATTACCAATAAAGGAGTTGGATTCTACAGGCTTAATCTAAATGTATTTAAACCTGTATTTCTTTCGACATTTAATAATTAATAATAAATTGACAAATATATTTAGTTTCAAGGCTTCTATTAATTTCTTAAAAATTAAAAGATATGTTAGTAGTGCGTTTTCTAAAATATATTTTGTAAATAAATAGTATTAGATAAACTGGGATAAAATTTTAAATGTTTTAACCATAAATTTAATTAATTAGCTATACCTACCACGTCTTTTAACATACAATAACTCTGAAGGTTGCTAACAGACTGTTTTATGTGATTATCGGAATAAACAGCAAAAATTCCTCAATCAATTTATCTCCGTAAGAGAGTTGTGATTTTCTGCACATAGAAACTTAATTCCTGAACAACAATTAGATAGATTTGTGCTTCAAAGGAAAAACTAAACTGCATTCATATAATCTAAACACTCCCTCGTTTTAACAAAATGTCTTCAAAAGATACGTCACTTTCGCCGAAAATGGTCAGAAATCTGCATATGAAATTTGCACTGATGACGCATGTAACTGAAGGACTTCAATAATAATAAAAGATTTTAGCCTCTGAGATAAATGATCTCTTCCCAACTTAATTCACGATGTCTTATCAATCCTCTAAAGCAACTGCGTTTTTCTCACGAATTATATTGATGAGTTTCACATGATTCGCAGAATAAACGAACTTACGTAAGGAAGCAAGCTTAGAGATGGAAACTAAAATTTCAAATCATTATTGTCTATCTTCAATAACCGATCGATCTCAAGACTTACTAAGACATTCTTAATTTATTTAACAAA